GATGTGGTCAAACTTCAAAACAATACCAACGGAAGTAGCAAGAACAATTTCTGTTGCAGTAAAAATTGCTGGCATCAAGTTCAAGACGACAGCTACATCAGGACATCAGTGTTTGTTGCAAATTAAAAATGGCCTCATCAAATCTTTGCAGAAGCAGCTTCTACACTCGGTTCCATTGATAATTTGTGAAGAAAAGTACAGATTCACTCCTGATGACTTCAAGGTCGCAACGAGGGCAAATATACAGAAGAAGATGAAATCTGGAATTAGTCATGTATAACTTGACCCTTATCAGTCAACACAACGATGTCCAATCTAGCTGTTGTACAGACAACTACAGGTAAAAGACTGATCAGTCGCCTCCTTGCAAGAAATGTAAAGCAGTTAAAGCTCAAAACCTTATTATCTTTTTTATATTTATGATCTAAAACTGAGTAAAGAGAAAACAACTGACGGGGTTTTGTGATTTGTGACAAAGTATACTTGTAACATTGAAACTCACATAGACATACTATGACTTACAATGAGGACAATGTGATGTACATATGGGTGTTGCTGGTTTGTGTTTTTTGGTCTGTGTTCCCACATGTTAGTGCTAATGAGCATTAATGATCATATTTTCCAAAACGTTTATGAACAGAAATCTACTGACTGATTTTTATTTGTTTTGTTTTTTATGTCCAGGTGTTGTTGAGATAACTGTAGTTGAAATGAATTTATTATATATATGAATGTATTATGTCATGTATTATGTTGAGCTTCACGGGAATCTGAGTAACTGAAACCCACTGGAGCCTTGAAGGAAATGTAGAGAAACGGTCCGGAAAACTAACTGAAACTTAAAGGTCACATGCAACCCAAAAATCAAGCATAATTAAAACACAATTATTACTTATTCATAACATATAATATACATTGCTGATTATGAAAAACATATAAACAAAATTATAAGCGTACAATCGCAAATCAAAAGTGCAATAATTTGTACTTGGGTTTACTTCCCTCGAAACGAAGCACCCGGGATACCGAACCCAGTCAGAGCGGGTGGGTGTGCACTCAAGTGTAACGACTTTCATTGGCTAGTTCATTTGCCGATGCCCTCACGGCTCATTGTGTGTGTGTAGAGATGTTGGGTTTTATAAATACATGCTCATTTTTTTGCGTATAACATGTTGCAATCGACAGACATCATAACATGTCATGTGTACAAGTATCACACCTGCCTGTCTGTAATTACATAATGTGACAGAGATAGAACTCGGGTGCACGAGCCATAAATCAATGCGTTTTGTTTACGGTGTATAGCCTGATAGGTGTTACGTTCAAATTGCATGTGGTCAGTGATCGAAGTGATCGAGTGATCGAAGTATTGCATATTGTCATTAGCAGACAGGCAGGCATACACATAGGTGTCAATAAAACAGACATTGAGTTTTGTCTGTGACAAAGACATATCTATATCACAGTTAGAAATTCTGTCAATGCTAAATAATGACCATTGCATTAAGTATCGAACTGAGAAAGTGACTCTGTAAGAAGAACGTGTGGTGAAATAGACAAATGAAATTATATAAACAGTTAAATCGGTAATCATGTCATAACATATAAAAAGCTCGCGCCTGTGAAATATCAACAAAACATTAGAAAAATAGCTCACATCAAAGCCTTCACCGAGTATTCACCACCAGCGAAGGTTTTCCGTCTTGAAATGTCGAACGCCTCACTGGTTGACACATAGCTGAGTAGATCTAGATCCTAACAAGGTTCTTTTATGTAACGAGTAGATTATTTTCTATTTGTTTTGATTAGACTACTCCTGCTCACGACGTTATAATCCCCACAGTTTGTATCCGGACATCCCGCTTCCAAGCTGCGCGAACCCATTCACTGCGCATGCGCTATGAGCGCAGCCAAACCACTTTTCATCTTAAAATTTAGTGAATCGTTTAAACGCCGATTTCGCGGGTTTTTTTCATCACGTTATTTTTCAACTTGAAATTTGCATTTTTGATGATTTGTAGCTCTAAGTCCATACCGAAAGGTATCAGAATCTGCAAAGTTGTGTTTAACGTTGCATGTGACCTTTAAGTTTCCTTTATTTTTCCTGTGCTTGGATAAAAAAGATTCACTCACGAAGGTTTCTTTACGTAATGCCATACATCTCATAAGCTTAAATTTTGAGATTGTCGGAAAACCAATTGAAGACTATTTGAGAAACTATTATAATGGGTGATATTCCAGGTAAACATCGCATTATAAAATGCGCAACCCTAGCGCTCTCCGATCTCGGGACACGGGAGGATTCAATAAACCCGGTACGGAAAACACGTGGAGTTTGTAAAGCAGAGTATTTGGGTTAAGCTTGGTTATTTGGCTCAAGGTGTCCTGACTTCATCATTCTGCAGAAATGTCAGTTTATGTTACATTTGTTTAACCAATAAGGTTACAGTAATTGCTGCATTTCTCTGATGGGGGAGGGATGTCATGTTGCGTACTGAGAGATGCAGAATATTTTGTTCCGCTAATGAGTTTTTTGTATTAGATGACCGGAAGTAATAGATGGAGCATGTGGCCGAAAACCGAAACAGCTGTGTGGTTTATGAAGAAGACTGCAGTTGTAACTGAACTGATCATACTGCTAATTAACACTAAGCACCCGATGACATATCTCACGATTGAATGAGCCCCGATCTTAACCCTTTGGAGCATATCTGGAACATGATTGGTCGTCGAGTGCAATAAAGGGATCCTCCTGTACAGAACCCGATTGAAAGCTGCTTTACACGAGGAATGGCGTAGACTGTCCCTTCAGAGGATCAGGAGGCTGGCAGGGAGTATGAAGAGAGTGCTGGCTGTCATACACTCACATGCAGGTTATGACATTTTGAATGTTCACATTCGCCAATAAATTCAACATTCCAGGGCCATTCTTTTTCAGACATGGTTCTGTATGAAAACCAGTGTTTTAAAAATGAGCAATTATCATTATAAAATCAACATGAATTCCAATCATTTTGTCTTTTTTTATGAGTCAAAGGATCATACGGGTCAGGAAAACTCATCTTTTTTTCGTGGTCACCACGAGAAGTGTTATGTACGTGTTGAAAACCTTTAATTGCAAAACTACAATTAATTTCTGTGTGTATAGAACCCTAGCTGTAGCCATAATTCAGGAATATGACAAAATCGGTTCCTGTTTTCGTTTTGATGGTTCCCAGCTCATATTGTCAGTTTACAGTCTCTAGCTGTAGTGTAACTGGATTGTCAGAACCATATTTGGTACTCTCTTCGGTGTTCTTCAAACCATTGCAAGAGCCATTGTTGCCCACAGCGTACACCTGGTTATCAGTTGGCGCAGCACTGACCGAGTATCGTCCTGTCCGGTCTTCCTGTTTGGCAGGACCCCAGCTGGCTGTTGGGACAAAGGCCTTCCTCTGAATAGACAATAATCGCTATGCGTGACCATTGTTGCTGTGGCATATGAGTCCAAATGAAAAGTGGCGGTAAAATCCTTTCCAAAGCCATCAGGACAAAATACAACATATTTCAACAAGAAAACGCAGATTTACTGCGGAAAATGCACACTTTGGTAAATATTTTTTTACAAATGCTATAGTTTGTTGTTTGATCTCGAACAAGGGAATGACCCAGCTATATCACGGGGGCGGTAGATTTCATGTTAGTCTCAAAGTGAGTGAATGAGTTTAGTTTTACGCCGCACTCAGCAATATTCCAGCTATATGGCGTCGGTCTGCAGATAATCGAATCTAGACCAGACAATCCACTGATCAACAGCATGAGTATCGATCTACGCAATTGGGATACGGTGACATATGTCAACCAAGTCAGCGAGCCTGTCCACCCGATCCCGTTAGTCGCCTCTTCGGACAAGCATGGGTTACTGAAGACCAATTCAAATCCGGTTCTAGTCTGAAGGGTGTCTTCTCATGTCATGTGAATGAATTTCAGGATATATTTAGCAAAGCTGCAGCGTGTATGTGTTGAGACGTCCATACTTCTCTACACACATCAATTTGAAGCATTTTTCATCGAACTTACTGGCCCGAGCTTGTAGATTTGTACTGCTACAAGGAGGAGTATCATAGCAACAGGGGCGACAACCATGCACCAGCCAATGCCCTGAGCCCACGGTGGGAACTTGTAGTCTCCATAGTTGGCAGGGACGTACTGCATGGCTGACACGATTATAACAAACTGAAACAAACAAACATTAGGTATAGTCCTTTGCACACATATAATTCAATGGGTAAATGGATCTTTGCTCCTAAATTAGGAATGATGGTTCTTTAAATGAGTTAAAATATAGCCCTTCTCATACTCCGTATTACTCCCCTTAGATAAATAAGAAGACATTGATTGGTATAATAGCAAATGCATATGAGACTTACAAGCAGGGTGACGGGAGTCAGAGAAGGAAACACTTACAAGCAGGGTGACGGGGACCAGAGAAGGAAACACTTACAAGCAGGGTGACGGGAGTCAGAGAAGGAAACACTTACAAGCAGGGTGACGGGAGTCAGAGAAGAAACACTTACAAGCAGGGTGACGGGAGCCAGGAAAACCCAGTTGACCAGCCAGTAGGGATTGGGTCGGTGGCCAATCATCATCTTGATGTCCTCCATGAACTGTTTCACACCTGCACAGCAATAACATGACAAGAAACCTTAAAACCCATTTCAAAACCACTTGGAGACAACCCACCGAAGAGATATAACGATATATTTTGATGAATGATGCGGTATATTTTCCATGCCACTATGATAAAAGAGCATTAATTTATTCATTGCGTGCAATCCACTCGTACAAATTTACCAAGTCATTCACGTGTACTTACGTTCGTCTGAGTATGATGTACGTATTACCAATAGCGTAGTGCCACGATGGTTATCGTTATGATACGTGTATATAATCATAAATACTTTTTAAGTTCAGGCTGTCTTTTCAGCAAAACGTTATCAAATGTAACCTTTACTGGTCTCTTATGGCCCAGGTCGATTCTCCAAGTGGCTTAGCTGCGCCCTCTTGCACAAAAAGATCTCAGCTTCACGATAGTCGTAACTTTCATAACCTTGTACTGTGATCGTTTTGTGCAAGTGAGCCCTGGAGACTACAAATTCACCTAGTTCGTGCATACCATAGACATACATGAGGCAGATGATCTCCGCCAGAGCGACCAGCATCAGGTTATAGCTGCTACAGTACCAGTCCATCAGTGTCAGTATATAGATACCGCCCTGGAGGAAAACATAGACGACATTCAGAGGTACAGGCATGTTGATGAATACTATACATGTCCGCATGCACAAATGTTAGCCGTTTAGAGACAGATATTGTATTCAATATTTTGCAACAAGTCTGAATGTCATAATGTTCGAAGTGATATTTATTGATAGGGTTTCAAAATTGCATACATTAAGAGGAATGAAATACACGTACTTATTTTCGCGTGGTGCAATTTTCGCGGAATTGACAGTTCAGACTACATCGCGCGGTCAATTATTCGCGCAATCAGTAATTGCCGGAACTGCCAGCTGTCTCTTTGGCCGTCACTAATAGCAGTGAAAACAAACAGAGTGGCTTAACCTGTCAGGCGGCGTTTATTGCTTACTCACAGGAAATCCCTATCTGTGCGATATACTAGTACACAGTAATCCGTTTACTCACGGAAGAGATGAAAAACACATCAGTCTTATGTTCCGAATTCTGACGATCTGACGAATTAACTTCTACTGTATATGAAGCTCTTTGTGATTTCAAACAAGCCGGGTTGTTGTGAATGAGATGATTGAGTGTTAAGTGACTATTCGCTTCATGATGTACTGGTAAATAAAATCTTAATTAATAAATAAAATACTTCTGTATTATTTCTTTCCGAGTCGTTTCATGGTAATCTGTTTTGTATCAAACCATCTGTCATGTGACCAATTTCCATGGCGGCCACAACACACATTGCTGTTTTCGCTAATTCGGCGATGAGATTTGGCTCATTATTTAATTATGTTTTGGGAAATCCATTACATCGACAGTTAAGTATGATTCATAAATTTATCTAGGGTAAATACGGTAGTCTAGACGGACTACCGGTGGGGGCATGTGCTGCACGAGAAGTTGTGCTTGTTTAGTCACGTGGTAGAAGGTTACAAGGTGGGTTGAAGATATTGTTTCGTCACTCGAGGTCTACGCGTTACTCAGGCGAGTAGCTTTGCCTTGGTTTTTCTTTTCATTGGGGACAGGGCCACTGGGCCGTGTGTTTGGCCACTGGGCCGTGTGTTACGAATGTAGGCCACTGGGTCGTGCTGTACACATGTAGGCCACGGATGTGATGTTATGGTGATATACAAAGTTACTTGATTGAGGATCAGCAGAAGTAAATAGAAAGAATTGCACGCATCCTGGGATTGGTGACAGGGACACAGCCAACAACTCAACAGAGACGAATCTTATGGAGTGGAACGGTCAATATTCTAAGTTAAGTATGCTTTATGTTTAGGCTGGCAATTCTTGTGTGGGTCTTAAATGGTTTATTTTTCTGTAGTTACTTGCAAAAGTTTAAAGTAACGATGGGTTATGTTCCCGAATATTAAGTAAAGCAAGGGATTATATTTCCATTTAAGTCAACGTTAGAGTTACTTATTATAGAAGTTTGCAATTGTATCGATGGCTTTTATGGACCTTGTTTCAGAGGCAGTTCAGCTCAGGGTTGAGTCGTCTCAGATGTATACAAGACTCAAGGATGCATGATTACGTGGAGATCCGGCATTGTGTTCGTGCGAACTATGGAAGGATAACCGATTGGGCAGTGTATGGACTTGCGCGATATCGCATTTATATCTGTGATCTGTGTCGATGAGTTCTTGCTATGTAAACTTCAGAAATAAACCTGCTCGCACTCGAGGCGCGGTAGACAGCACCCTGTATTACGAGTATGTTATACTTGGTAAATGTTTTATGTTCGTTTGAGCGAAGCGAATTAGAACATAATTTATGCTACTATCAGTCGTCATTTTAAGATTCCCGTAGATTTCTGTCTTCAAACTTGATGTGTTATGGTAACAACTCAGGGGCGAGCGTGGCTAGACTGAATGAATTACAGGTTTATTCGCGGTGTATAAATTTTCGCGCTAAAATGTTTTGCGCGAAAAGCGCGAAAATAAAATCTGCGCGAAATATAATACGTTTACAGTAACAAAGGTGAAATAGAGATCCCAGCTACTAGTATCTGAGAATAACCAAGATCAGTGATAGTTAAGCCAACCTTTGTAACCATGGACAAGCCCAGGAGGAAGCCAAGGAGACAACAGAAGGCTGTGAAGGCAGTTTTGTGGGGTCTCAGGAAACGTGGGAAGATGTCACTGATGCCGCTCAACACAGTCTGCACTTGTGTAAACTGCAGAAAGACATAATCCAGAAGTTTCGCAATCTGTAATTGGCACCTTGATTACTTGTAAGCATCCAGACTTATATTTCTGGCATGTGGTATATTTATTCATATTGATAATTGATAATACTTTAATATTTCTCGATGTATCAGTTACAAACACGCAGTGTTTTTGATCAAATATTCGTGTTCACATATTAGAAGAATTTTAGTCAAAAGAAACGACAATGCAAAATGTGAATTCAAATTTCAAGAAAGTACTTTCAGGGTTCCACGTATGTTTACATATTGCAAAAAAAATTAGCCAAAAGAAAAAACTCTATGCAAAATGTGAACTTCAATTTCCCAAAAGTACAGTCGGGGTTCCATATACTTCAGGCAAAAGAAATAACATTATGTAAAATGTGACACAGTGATGGTTTCCGCATACTAAGCTTGTCTGTGCCATTAGTTCAACATGGTTTCCAAGGTTATTTATAAAATATGCTTTTTTTATATAATGTTGGGAAAATAAGAGATTCGGATGTTTTTATGTAAAACCAGGGATAATCTACAACGTTATATAGTCTCCCTGGTAAAACGCATGTAACTTCTTATTATATTTATGAATGTATTTTGGGCCAGTGGCCCATTACTGAATAAAATGTCTGTCTGTCTGTCTGCTTTGGGCATGTCATTCTGTGAGAAACAATATTTCTACGAGGTATGACTGTTCAGACAGAAGGTGACTGATGTTTTTGCTTTACCTGGCCATTTATTCCAAGTGTACAAAACATGAAGAAGAACAGGAAGGCCCACAAAGCAGGCTGTGGTATCTCAGCAATGCCTTCTGGATAAGCAATGAAAGCTAGACCGGGGCCTGAAACCAAATGTCAAACATTCTATTCTATATCCTTGGTGCTATTCTTTATGGCTCATCATTCTTGAATATGCATTTATGTATTACCTCAGAAGTAAAATAATTTATTGATTTTGTCATGTTACCAACAGAACTTCGAGTGATGCAATGTCGAGTGTGACTGTGTGTGAGGGTATGTGCATGCGTGCGTGCGTGCGTGCTTGCGTGTGTGTGTGTGTGTCCTTCTGACCTTGATGTACCACGCTCTCGATGTCCTGGTTGGTGATGTGAGCCATGTAGCCCAGAATGGAGAAGATGGTGAAGCCAGACAGAATACTGCTCACACAGTTGACAAGAGCAACTATAACAGCATCTCTGTAACAAGAGCTAAAATGTACATCGCGCAGAATACCAGATAATAGCTCAAGTTTTCCTGATAGGAAAGGCTATTCCAATAGTCTTGGAATATCCACACCATTTGTCCAACAATTTTTCATAAATCCATAAATTCAGGTTGTGAAAAATGAATCTTTCAATCATTAACATATTCTCGATTTTGGAACAATCTAATATTTTTTTCTACTGGCAAATACGACGTATTGCGTTGGTTGCAAAGACATATCAGTAACTTTCGACAAAGCCTGTCTCTCATCTTTTGATATGATGCTAAAATTATATACCAATGCATCGAAGATTTAGTCAGGCAGTTACTGTAAACAAGTGTGGCCATCCTGGTGGGTATACACAAGCTTCCCTAGGTATATCTGCCGGTGCTATCAGTCGTTTATGCTGAAGTTGTTTAATCCATGAGTGTTTCTTAAAATCAAGTTATAAACTTAACATATATTTTCATATGCCTAATCTATTATTTCATAATAGCTTTTAAACAGGAAATATATTTCATTGATAGAATTGTAACTTAGTTTGATTTAATTAATAACTTGTTTTGAGCAAGTGCCATTTTATCGATGGTGACACGTAACGCCTGATAATATCAAAATGCATTACAAAAGAACGATGAAACATACAACTTTATGGATGATAACTTCTGGTTTATTTGCGTAGAGCGACGTTTCGATGTAGATTCTTACATCGTTATCAAGAATATCTACATCGAAACGGCGCTCTACGCAAATAAACCAGAAGTTGTCATCTATAAAGTTGTGTGTCATTTGTTGACTCACCAACTTCTAGAATGCCGATCAAACAATTAAAAGAACGAATATGACAGGAACGCGGCTTTTATCCTCCATTCTACATTAATCCTATGACTTCTATGTACTGATCTGACTGAACATTACATTAAACAGGAAGTTAACGTTGACCATGTGACAAGGTTCGAGGGATGCTTCTGCAATCAACTCACAGCTCACAGTTGTTGTTGAACTTGTTGTAGCTCGACACGGTCACCACACCGCCATATCCTGCACTCAACGAGAAAAATACCTGAGTGGCTGCATCTCCCCATACCTGCAATAAAACATTAGCCGATCATTAGCAAGCAGTCTTATTTCTTTATACATGGTACTCATATGTGTTGTTATGTACCTTGTCAGGAGGAAAATAATATTTACTCTACGTTTGCAAAAGCAATGAATCTATACACAATAAAGCTGTTTTCGACAATATTTACCTTGCAGACAGGCTTTCTGGATAACTATTTCTTTGTTTTGTGAGTGCGACGTTTCGATACAGATTCTTGTATCAGTATCAAGTAGGGATGATACAAGAATCTGTATCGAACCGTCGCACTCACAGATTAAAGAAATTCATAAAGTTTGTCTTTATTGTACTTCTCAGCTTCCACAATGCCACTCAAATAAGTAATTACGTTGGCCTCTGTCAGCCTGTGGACCTTCGGTGTCATGTAAAAAGCGATGCCCTTCTCGTATCCTGGCAACGTCAGGCCCCGCACCAGCAGCACCAGCATGATGACGTAGGGGAAGGTGGCGGTGAAGTACACGGCCTGGGAGAGAAACAGTACGAACAATCTACATGTGCACATATCTACACGATAATTGACAAAACGTCAACATGACAGTGCTAAATACATGAGCGAGTGAGTGAGTTTAGTTTTACGCCGCACTCAACAATGTTCCAACTATATGTAAATAATCAAGTCTAGACCGGACATTGCAGTGATCAACAGCATGAACATCGATCTAGGCAATAGGGATACGATGACATGTGCGAACCAAGTCAGCAAGCCTGACCACTTGATCCCGGCGAAATACATGAAGATTTATGTCTTCCGTATCAAATGTTAGGTTTCCGTTTGTTTATGTGTGTTTCACAGCACAAGAATGATACATGTAGGTACATGGCATATCTGTATCAACAGTGCGAGTACCCATTTCCCATTAAATAGCCTATAATTTATAAGATAGCTTGAATGTAATCTTAAGTCTAATATCATGTAGTCAATAGGGTTTTATGTCACCGATAAATGGATGTTTTTGACAGAGGATTCAGCACAATGCAGATTTATTTAATACAAAGCGACCGATGAGTGATATTTCTGAAGTAAATAATACTGTAACAAGTGATGTTTGTAAAAGAAAACATTCCGCAGAATCAAATCAAGAATATTGCTGAGCGCGGGATAAAACTAAACTCACTCACTCTGGTGTCATAAATGAGGATAATCAGCTACTTTCAAGATTACCAGCTACTAATACAGATTAGACCACAATCAGAAGACTGACCCACCAGATTCAGGGAAACAAACAGTTCATGGTACATTACCTTGCCAGATGATTTGATTCCTTTCTTGAGACCGATGAAAAGAAGAAGCCAAGTAAAGAATAGACACAAGGTGTTCTTCAGACTGAACCCTCCCAAACCCTCAAACCCATCGGATTCATGGAGACGAAGAACATAGCGTCTAAAATTACAAATATAACCATTATTATAATCACTGACGAAAAAAGTAACATGCTTCATGTAAAGTTTAATAATATACACATACACTGAAATAAGATGCTCCGTCGTTCATTATATATTCATGAGGACATCTTGATTTTAAGGTTTTCAATCACAATTTCAAAATGCGTATTCACGCAAGGTGCCAAGTCGATGGTTACGTGTACGTGTATATCTAAGAATGATAATTAGACGCGTGTTTTTCTGAAATGTGAACTAAGTGTGCAATAGTCATTTCTGCTAACTATTTGTTTTGAGGTGATTAAGTAACTTTTGGATGACATTAAGAGAGAAGAAGAGGATTTCAATGCATCTTTGATGATACACAACGTATGCACTACGTATTATGGACAAACAGGTTGGTTCTACATATAGCCAGATCTGATGCGTACTCCCAGTACTCTTCACTTGCTGTGCTGTATTTGATAAGGCATGTCTTGGTGATGTCGTTCTGGATCATGGTGGAGTGGAGGTCGTCGGTGCTGTTGAAGGTGGAGTTGTAGACGTCAGAGATGTTGCTCAGGAGGCTCTCTACACACGGTTGTTTGTACAACACTTCTGTTAACAAATGCATAATGGCAAGTGATTAAACATTACAGCAAAACCGATGTAAGTAAAAATGTATAGGACTAGCCCAGTGGTTACAGCGTCCGCTCCTCACGCCGAAGATCCGGGTTCGATTTCTCACATGGTTACAATGAGTGAAGCTCATTTTTTTAATACTGTTGGAGCTGAGAAGAGCCACACTCATTCACTCTAAATCCCAAATCCAACTCTATCATCAATTTGACTACATTTTAATATGAATCGTGGGAGATCTTACCAAACAAAGTCGTTGTTCTGTTTGCCTCATCCATCAACGTTAGTGAAGGGAATGGCTCCGACCTACAGGAATTGGTGTTCCAGGGATTGCCACACGACCCCCAGGGTACAGTGTCGTCAAGGTTGACGAAGCTGACAAACATGTAGTAGATGCCGTACATGACGACCACGTTGTAGTAGATGACAAGGATAGACATGGTGATCACCATAGCAACCCCGATACCTGGAATAAATCAGAAGAGTGAGTTTAGTTTGTCGCCGCATTCAGCAATATTCCAGCTATATGTCACAGTTTTTATATAATAGATTTATCTTATCTCATATCTGAAATGATTTGTGTAATACTAATATGTATCTTCCGTGTATGTGGTCTTTTTGCCAATACGCCTTTTGTGAGGGTTAGCAGCAAGGCCCGAGGAGAAAAGCTTTGTGTATGTGAGCCTGAGATTAGAAAAATTACCTGATTATATAGTAATACATTTTTGTTTGAATCCGATTGTGTTACATGCCGTCGTACTGCGAGCACTATTGTCACGTGCAGCCTTTGACAGGAAACAAAACCTACGTTTCAAAGGTTTTTTTGTGTGCAGGGCTGATGCTTCCCACGGAATAGGACATTTTTCGTGAACACCAAATGACATTACTGATTTTCGGTGATTGATTCATGCAGATTTCATCATCATGATGATGATGATGATGATGATGATGATGACTATTGTTCTTTTCAACGAAAGGACATCTTACAGTAGACAACTGGGAATGGTTATTGTCTTGCATTGACGTTATAAATTTGAAACAACTGAGAGAACTGTTGATAAGGCGACCAACCAGACTATTACCCTGGAAAGCGGGGCTGACCTTCCACACCGTGATCGGCCCTTCTGAGGCGAACTGACCGAGGGCCATCTCCAGGAACACTATTGGTAGGCCAAGCACCAACATCATGATCAAGTAGGGAATCAGGAAAGTGGCTGCAAGAAAGAGTACATAGTGTAGAGACGGGATCAGGCTAAAACGGCCCCATGACAAAAGCGGCCCCAATTTTGCTTGGCTAAAACGGCCCCGGTGCAAAACGGCCCCGATGTTGCTATCAACTATGTTGCTTGAAATAACCCCGTACAATTGCAAAAAACAGACGTGAAATATATTTGAGCATTTATATTGACATGGGGCCGTTTCAGCTATAACCCGTAGAGGCGAGTATTTTAACACGGTAGCTACCTGTATGTATCTACCTAAAGACAGTTACAAGAAGCTACAAGTGGCAAGAAAAGAATATATTGTTGCACTTCGGTAGTTTGTGACACACAACTATTTATTGTCTGGTATACACTGGTTCTTTTTTCCACGTTATAGTGAACCTTTCACAGATGAATTTGATTAATAACATTCATTAAAGATTAGGTGAATTGAGGCATCACAGGTTGTTTTGTAATGGACAGCGGAATAAGCACTAATTATTCATTCATTGTAATGGACGGACTAACGATATTCAGTAACGCCACAGAACCATCCTGATACTGTCCACGGCTACACCGAGTAGGCCATCGTCCTGAAACCCTACCTCCTCCATTCCTGTAGCAGAGATAAGGAAACCTCCAGACGGTGCCAAGGCTGGCTGCGTAGCCAAAACAAGACAGCAAGAACTGGGCCTTGTTTCCCCAGGAACCCCTCGCATGATCCTGAAGTGATCAGCCGATATACATTATTGTTAATAGCAAGTGCATTATATAACGTATATATTACCGTCTATAAGCCGACCCCATAGATAAGCCGACCCCCAAACTTGACCCTTAAAATCAGTGTCAAATGGTATGTTTCGTACATAAGCCGATCCCCCGCGATGGGGTCCTAATCCTGGCAAACACAGACCACGGACAACTGGCTGTTACCAATAATTCCTCAAATACCTCAAATTCGGCTTACAGACGGTAATATGAGGTACATTATTATAAAAACATTAAATATATGATATAAAATCTAAAAAATTGCAAGAGTAGTCCAACACTCTAGTACTGAACAGTATGTTCTGGTGCAATGTTACAGTGTATTCGAACAGACTGCAATATAACGGGACACCCAACTCTCTAAAATATAGGGGCGGCGGGGTAGCCCAGTGGTTAAAGCTCTCGCTCGACAAGCCGAAGACCCGGGTTCGATTCCCCACATGGGTACAATGTGTGAAGCCCATTTCTGGTGTCCCCCGTCGTGATATTGCTGGAATATTGCTAAAACGGCGTAAAACCATACTCACTTTAAAATATAAAACCGTTAATCGGAGTAACAATAACCGTGAATAGCTTCACGTCAGCATTAAATGATAATGACTCAATCACTCAGAAATAAGTGTGCCAGAAAATTGGCTATACAGAGTGCAAGTTGAATATTGGGGCAAACAACAGCGTGTCTAATACGGGAGAAAATCATAAATACAGGTATGGAAAGGAATATTGGTATGTGTAGCTCTCATTTTAAGTGTCTAATAATTGGAATGTGTGGTCATTAATGAAATATCTTCATGTATTCGTGTTTCAAAATAACGGAATGAATGCAATATATATGATAAGTTTTATATGCAAATTGATTGAAATAGAAACGACTATGCCTCAACTGTTTCAATGGGGTTGGATGTGGTTCAAATTACTGGAATTGTTCAAATATGTTCCAAACATGATGAAATGGCACTGGGAGTGTCTGTCACACAACCTATTTCTTGAGTTCTAGACGTTTGTGTGTGTACTTGACAGTGTTAAGTGTTATTGGCAGTGTTTGTACATTGTAAACCGATATCAAAGTGGTGTGTTGATCCCTCACAACGCAAGTGGTACGCCAGCACTTGGAATGGGAGTTATGGTGGTGATTTCAGGGTACTGATGTTTATAATGAGATGCTGTTGTCCTGAATCTGATATATGTGCCTATTAAATAAGGGGAGGGTCAGCATTATGGAGCTTGACTAACAGCATTATCAAATTAACAGGATCTGTTGATCTATTAGGGTTGCTAGGTCGGGTTTTGAGAATTTGGAAACTGAGTGGACTTTTAAAAGTTTGTGTTTTGGACGCCTTGCCTGCAGTTTCATATTTAGCATATCAGCTATATAAAGAGAACTCATTGTTTACTTGTTCTTTGTGTTTTTGATAAATTTATAATGATATATGATATATAACGGGTAACAGCCAACTTGTTATTTCTCTGCACTGTCTATCTCTACCTAACCTTGCTATCAGCTTGTCACTGTTTGGTTTGCGCTATTTTTAGGATACACCAGAATAATTTTCATGTCTACATGCATACATGACAAAACACATGCTTACATCATGGCGGCATTGGCCTGAGCTGTGACAACGTCGGCTACAAGAGTTTTGGAACATTGGAGAAAGTTGGTATCGTTTTGGGATTTTTTGTTTTGTTTTTCCATTTTCTTGTTTCCAACAACAGAAAACGAGTGAAAAAGAAGAAATCGAAATAAAACTTAATATAAAGAGCTAAAAAGAGTCGGGCCGTTTTTAGTGACAATAGATCCATTACTTAACACTGGAACCATAACTATAACAGAGCTCAACATGTGTTTTTGTTGCATGCATCAAAAGGCCATTCATTTACGATACTGCAGAGGGTAGATGTCAAGTACCCAAATGTTCACCGTGTGAACAGAATAAAATAAATTGGGTATATCGTGCTACCTGCAGCTGTACCTGTCCACTGTCGTCGCTCATGACATCAACCACTGGAATCGACACAGGTAGAGTATCACAGCTGAAGAATAACAGATTCACGCATTAGAACTAAACTTTAATAATTCCATAATCAGAAAATCAGAAAAAAGAGAAGAGGAATTGATATTTAATGGAATCCTAGAAGGGACATTGTCGACCTTACAAAAACAAGCAAAAAGTGGTAAAATTAACCAAAGTGCGACAATGTGACAACGCGACAATGTACCTTCTAGGATTTCATAGATATATGCAAAATTTGTTGAAGAAAATGTTAGTGCATATTCTTATGATAATATTGATCAGAAGCGATTCGTAATTGTTGCGCTCGCTATAACAGCAAACCGTATATGGAACGTCTGCACACGACTCTGTAGTGGGATAGGATATTTCTATAGCGCACATATCCACGTAACAAGTACATGCTCATCCCCCCTCCCCCCCCCCATCATTGGATATCAATCTGAACGGCAGATGATATTATCAAACTCCATGGGGAGTATACAACTATAGGCGCACCGAGTTATTTCTCATCCTTACGAGATACTCATTCACAACCGGGTGAACTGGGACACATAGTCACAGAACTTTGTCCAAGTTTACTGCACGTTGCTGTACCCGCAACTAGGTGTTTGCTGGTATTAATGTGGCCACCATCTGGTCATATACCAACGGATTCGTGGGTTCTTTTAAGTGCACAAGGTTGTGTTCTGTACACTCGGGGTTGTGACAACACTGAAAGAGTCTGCACACATTTATATTTTTAGTTGACTCCAAGGTTTTTACACTCGGTCACAGGTGGGCTCGATCCGGACACCTCAGGCTCACTGGATCACTAGCCTGGCGCCTAAAGCCAGCTCGCCCACCGCGCCCAACAGTATAATAAAATGAACTTTTTTCAAGTGAATGCTTTCTGTGTACTTTAATATGTCGTACGTTGTTAAGTGTTTGCACTGGTCCCTTTGTCATATATCTCTGCAAAACTCCCAAAGATGCATTACATGCTATTTGCGCGTAGATGTGTGTGCGCGCGTGCGAGTATTTGTAAGTGTGTGTCTGTGTGTGCTGTGTAGTGAGTGAGAAGAGAGTGAGTGAGTGAGTGAGTGAAGAAGTGCTGGATACGACACAAAGGAAATTCATCTTCAGCTGGAAGATGACATTGAAAAAGATATTGGCTGTGATTCCCGTTACCGTGTAACGATTGAGCCAGCTGTAAGCACCTTCAGACAACAGATTTATTGACTGCGGGTATAGAGCAGCCAGCTGCTCACGATTAAAATATAATACAATAAATCTAACATACAGAGCCTCACATAACTCTCGATTCTATCTGTCTATCACACATTGTGATTGTGTATCTTCAGAACTTGTGTGCGTTAGTATCCTGCCTTTGTTTAGGCGAAATGTACGCTTGTTGCAGTCTTATGTGGAGTTATTCAATTTGCGAAAATTAAAATTGTTGGCTAAAAGTTCGTGTACTTTGATTATTAGCGCTATGAGCATTCACCTAGCATTTTGATTGTTAACGATATCAGCATTCACCTAGCATTTTGATTGTTAGCGCTATGAGCATTCACCTAGCATTTTGATTGTTAGCGATATGAGCATTCACCTAGCATTTTGATTGTTGATAGCATTCACCTAGCATTTTGATTGTTAGCGATATGAGCATTCACCTAGCATTTTGATTGTTAGCGCATTTTGATTGTTAGCGCTATATGAGCATTCACCTAGCATTTTGATTGTTAGCGATATGAGCATTCACCTAGCATTTTGATTGTTAGCGATATGAGCATTATGAGCATTCAGCGCATTTTATGAGCATTCAGCATTTTGATTGTTAGCGATATGAGCATTCACCTAGCATTTTGATTGTTAGCGATATGAGCATTCACCTAGCATTTTGATTGTTAGCGATATGAGCATTCACCTAGCATTTTGATTGTTAACGATATGAGCATTCACCTAGCATTTTGATTGTTAGCGATATGAGCATTCACCTAGCATTTTGATTGTTAGCGATATCAGCATTCACCTAGCATTTTGATTGTTAGCGATATCAGCATTCACCTTGCATTTTGATTAAGCAATTAGCATTCACCTAGCATTTTGATTCCAGCCTAGCATATTCACCTTGATTGTTAACGATATCAGCATTCACCTAGCATTTTTAGTGTTAGCGATATCAGCATTCACCTTGCATTTTGATTGTTAGCAAGCATCCACCTATCATTTTGATTGTTAGCAATATGAGCATTCACCTAGCATTTTGATTGTTAACGATATCAGCATTCACCTAGCATTTTTAGTGTTAGCGATATCAGTATTCACCTTGCATTTTGATTGTTAGCAATATGAGCATCCACCTATCATTTTGATTGTTAGCAATATGAGCATCCACCTATCATTTTGATTGTTAGCAATATGAGCATTCACCTAGCATTTTGATTGTTAACGATATCAGCATTCACCTAGCATTTTGATTGTTAGCGATATCAGTATTCACCTAGCATTTTTAGTGTTAGCAATATGAGGATCCACCTATCATTTTGATCCACCTATCATTTTGATTGTTAGCAATATGAGCATTCACCTAGCATTTTGATTGTTAGCGATATCAGCATTCACCTAGCATTTTGATTGTTAGCGATATCAGCATTCACCTAGCATTTTGATTGTTAGCAATATGAGGATCCACCTATCATTTTGATTGTTAGCAATATGAGCATTCACCTAGCATTTTTAGTGTTAGCGATATCAGCATTCACCTAGCATTTTGATTGTTAGCAATATGAGCATCCACCTGGCATTTTGATTGTTAGCGCTATGAGCATTCACCTAGCATTTTGATTGTTAGCGATATCAGCATTCACCTAGTCAAAGGAGTTTAGTGCATTATAAATGCACTTTATTTCTTTACTTAACGTTTATATATGCCATTAAATCACCTTAACATTATTTACGAGCTTTCACAGCGCAGAATCTGTCGGTTTTAGTTGCAAAAAAATGCCTCTTATCACGCTTATTAGTTATACTTTCGAAACAGACAATATGTAAATCCTTCTTGGGTTTGTGTTGGAGAGGGCAAAATGTGAGCGATTGATTGTGTGATGAGATTTTAACTATATGTGCTGGAAACAAGGCTTAAACGCCAGATGTAGACATGACTTGAGTCTCGAAAGTGAAATGCATAACATGACTTAACGCAGGGAATTTGTTTGACCTAACTGAATACATCTAAACTTGCTAAAATAGTATAGCCTTGCCTATAGGTTTTCATTGCGTCGGGCTGCTGTAGGCTGCACATGTGTAGGACTAGTCAGATCGGCTGACCGGGTACTATCTCATTTAAGAATTGAAGTTGTATTTGTTGCCGTATATCACCTGATGAAGACAGTGCTTCAAGCGAGCAAATTCCATGATATATCATGCATGGTGTATTGACAGCTACACAAATCAGAAAAAAAGAGTCCATTTAAATACCAATGTAATTATTCAAAGTGAACTATATTAGCGCGGAGAGCTGCTTTTGTCGCGACGTCATCCGTCCAACAAAGGCGATTAGCGATATAACGTACCTTGACGTTGCAAACGTTACAAAATGGCGGCTTCGTTCACTTGAAATAGAAGACTCACCCAGTAAACGTGGAACTGGAATGGAATCCAGAGCCAGCTGGTGCTGAAATGGATTAATTTGAACTTTTGGTGCGTGTTTCAGTCATTCGAGTGTATGATGAACTGCTGACGTCGGGGATGACCAATGGGACACAGCACAGATGTCTTTTATAGATCTAGAAGCCTCTGTTACTTCAGTAAACCCGTCGTGTCGGGTATCTTGCATATGTGCAGGATCTACCCTAAGGCTGCATGGTTTGACTGTCTGTTGTTGAACGCTGCACTCAGTAATATTCCCGAGATATTCCCGGCTAAGGCAGTATCATATGAAGGCACTGTACCATTGATTCCATGATGCGCAAAATATTGACAGAAATGTAACCTTCTGCTCGACTAACAACACAATCGCTCGTCATTCTGACATTCATCGGGAAATAACGACAGCTGGCTTGGTATCATTCATGCAATATTTAAGAATTGACGTCGTACTGTTGACGTTCATCAGCTGATGAATACGTTGCCTCACGCGAGTTCATTCCATGATGTTCTGCTCGGTTGACAACGTAATCACGCTATATACTGATATAGCGAAATATACAACAATTGGCTTGGTAGTGTTCATCTAGTAACAGAATATAATTGGGTATATCGTGCTATAGAAGGTTCGTGTATTATTTGTGACTTGACAATTCCCGCTGTAAGATGCGACTCATGCGGAGACCATTTGATATTGGCAACATTCTTTGTGTTAATTGTATGTCACGACATTCGGAATAACCTTCAAGGTATGTCATGAGGCTGCCCATGACATACATACATTAACCTTTCTTATAGGCTTAAAAGCCTGTTGAAGCCGTGAAATAATCTGGGTTAGAATTGATCATCCGCAAACCATGATTGTCGTAAGAGGGAACTAACGGGATCGGATGGTCATGCTTACTGACTTGTTTGATGCATGCCATCGTATGTCATTTGCGAAGATCGATGTTCATGGTGTCATGTAGCTTGTCACATGAGTGTGATGTACATGTACTCGTGAAGATCCCGGTCAGAATTGGTCTTTAGCAACTCATGCTTGTCTCTACCTGTGAAGATCCGGGTTAGGATTGATCTTTAACAACCCATGCTTGTAAGAGGCGACTAACGGGACTAGGTGGTCTGGGTCGCTGACTTAGTTAACACATGTCATCACTTCCCAACTGCGTTTGGTTGCTGAAAGCCGATTCTAACGGATTTTCACGATTTGGTTGTCGGTTGGTTTGTTGTTTAACGCCGCAATATTACACCTATATTGCGGCGATCGGTAAATAATGGAGTCTGGACCATACCGTCCAGTGATCAACAGCATGAGCATCGATCTACGCAATACGGGGATACGATGACATGTGTCAACCAAGCCAGGGAGCCTGGCCACCCGATCTCTTACAACAAGCATGGGTTGCTGAGGACCAATTTCAACCTGGATCTTCACGGAGTGAAATAAAGTGAATGACTTCCTTTCTCAGTTACCCCGTCCCTTTCGAGCATCAGTAAGAGGCCCATACTTTTCAAGCAGATCTACTGTTATAGCAATCACTATATCAAACTTTAATTTGGGGAAATTTCATCACTGTACAATGGAATCAAGCATAATGAAGATGATCAACTGATCGTTTTGTGACTGTCTTTAAGATAACAATCTTAGAAGAAGCAGCATCACAGCCATATCAAGGGGCTCTTTAAACACGTCATACTAAATAAAACTTTCTCAAGGCACTCTATAACCATCAATTTACTTTTTATCAAGTGTAATACAACGAGTAATATTGCATCTATATAACATTTTGTTGGTTTTTTTATTAAATTTTACTGTACACATCCAAACATGAATTATGTACGTTTTATTATGTTGTTTCGTTATTATGTTCTATTATACACATTCACACCATAATTATAAAAAGAACAGGCACCAAATCACTGCACCCATGTTGGAAACAAACCCACATCATAGGAAGGACAAGCGAGTGCTTTAACCACACAACTACCCCGGTGTCCTATGGTATACAAGACTAATTCATGTTTAGCATGAAAGTTACTAGTATATCAAAAGGTCATGAAACCAGTAATATCACAGCTATATCAAGGGAGTCCTCAACCATTGGTAAATTTGTTGAAACGATAAGTCTTTAAACTTTGTTTCTCATGTTTCTGATTTGAAAGTTATATGAAACAGGACAGTGGGTCAGATTCTTCATAGTTAAAATGTTTCACAATACAGCTTGAAAAGGAACAGAATGCTTACCCTATTTGGCGAACGCATGGCGAACTTATATTTTAACCCTTTATGCCATGAAGAAATCTGTTTCGATACATAATCAAGACTTACTTTCCTGCATTGTCGTTTCAGGTGTAATAAGGAGATCAAGTAAAACATTCCCAGTGCATTTACCTCCGGTGCTGCTGTCATGTTGATTTTCCTAGTGTGTATGTTCCACTTATCAAAACAGAACTCCGCTGCCCTGCTCCGGTTTTCTACAGCCCTGTGGCGGAAGTGTCAACAGATGTGCGTAGCCAATGAAATGTCTTCATCTGAATCACATGACCATTATGAAAACATCTCCTTCCACGCCAATACCCTCTCTGTATAAAAAAACATTTTCAGCTGTGGCTGAAAGATTAAAGACTTTGTTCACAACCAAGGAACGTAAAATGAGGTTTCTATTAACAAACCACCTGTTATATATGATGATAAAGCTGGGTTACGGTTCAGGAAACTTTCAGCTCAAAGTACATATTAGGACGTGGCGTAAAGCTGTCCTTAGTTGCCTTTTTTGTTATTCCGGTCAGGCCTCAACGAGTACCATTTAAGCATTTTTAATACTATCATTATGGTAAAGGCTTGAAACACACTCGAGGGTGCGTTAAGACCTTCATGAATGATCTCTTTCTGTTGTGTTTAAATTGATTTATCAATCGTTATGCCATCTGAGACCTGGGACGTCTACGGATACTGAGAAGATACGATTTGTGTGTGGTGAATAGGCATCCGTGACGTCCAACGACGTTGGCAGTTTTACATGAAGCAGCGCATCATGTGCGTGTGGCGGATTTGACGGTCCCGTTGAGCTTCCCCGTCAGGTTCTCCTATGCACTGTGTGCCCAGAGTTCGTTGCCTTTGTGAGAGAAGTAGCATTCGTGGTGCCGTGACATGATATCTGATATATAATGATAATGATAATAATAAGGCCACTTAAATAGCGCTGAACGCCACACTGGACCCGCTGCAAGTGCATACAACATAACGAACATTACACACCTTGGGATGATATGGTCTTTACAATAGATAGCTGTTTATTTTGCATATCAACCTCTTGTGACGTCATCAGAGGTTGCTTCTGTAATATCGCCCTAGGGCGACATGGCTTTAAACCCCGGATAACGTTACAAGAGATCAGTCTAAATAGCCTGACAAACGTATCCTCGTCCGGATACATAAAAACTTTGGCTTCGCCTCAGTTTTGTATCCTTCCTCGGTTAAAGGTACGTCAGGATTTCTTGAATATCACTCTCGGCTTCGCCTCAAGCAATATTCAAGAAATCCTTCCGTAAAGATGAGTTGAAGAAACGACACTTCATATTTTATTTCTTGAGCACTACATTGATAGTGCGATTTGATGCTGACATGATTCCACCTGGCATTGATGGAGGAACATCCCGCGTGCACCTGATCTCGCTCGAGGCTGCGGTACAAGTCTTCTCACCCACATCTGTACTACAGTCAGTAGTTGCTATTGCACTGGCCGGAGAACTGTTAATGACGGCGCTGACCTCGATCTTCTGGCCTTCTGATTATCCGTGTGTAGATACAACCTGCAAAATAAAGAGTTGGATGTTAATTTGTAGTATTTGTGTTATTCAGGTTATGACGAATAACTTTGATAATGATTAATTACAATGGGTTGTTCTATGCAGTTTGTGACAAACATGAACATGACTAAACGATACTATATGAACATATTAACTCAGTCCACATACGCCCATTTGTAAAATTCAAACAAGTTCATTGATATGTATATTTATGTAAGGAGGCAATACTATTTCTTTCCACCTCCCGATAAAAAATTCCCAAATCTTAAATAGTAATATTTCAAATAGTTTCATGTTGTCAGATATAAGGATTTAGCATGAACTGTGTATACTGAACCGCAAAAAAAACGTCACTCCCTTTTTGAAATTGTTTGATCATCAATACTTCAAGACGAATTCAGACAATGACAAGTCAAAATGACGACAGTTGGCGCGACAGTGCGATCCGAAAGTCAATAACGTGTATGGCCTCCATGAGCGTTGACAACAGCGTTGCATCGTCTGTGCATGGAGTGGATGAGACGGTTGATGAAGGCCAGAGGAACTTGCGCCTATACTCGGTCATACGCCAGAGAGAGTTCAGCTGCAGTTGTCGGCCCACATCATTGAGCCTCCTCTGAATCTCGTCCCACAAGTGTTCTATCGGGTTTAAGTCTGGACTGAGGGAAGGCCATTGAAGAGTTTGTATGCCGTGTTGGCGGAGAATGTCTGTTGCTATGGCAGTATGGGCACGCGCGTTGTCATGCTGGAAGACATGGTTTCCATGACGACCAATATGTGGTACGATGAAGGGTCTCAGCGCTTGATCAATGTAGCGGGCAGATGTTACACCCTTTTCATCAGCCAGGACCAATATTTTGGAACACCATAGAGCCTAGTTTGTGATTGAGAGCAATAGCACCCCACACCATTATGCTCGGACCTCCCCACGAGTCTCTTTCCAGGACACAATCATCTGCAAAACGCTCCCCGCTTCGTCGCCACGCTCTCACTCTGCCATCAGCCGTCGAGACGCAATATCGGCTTTCGTCGGAGAAGACTACAGTTCGCCACTCCCGGTGACGCCAATTCCGATAATGTGTGGCCCACTGGAGACGAGCACGACGATGTCGAACAGTGAGGATAGGACCCCGGTAAGGCCTGCGACATCTGACGTTTCTCTGCCTCAAACGCTTCCGCACTGTGTCGGCGCTGTTTGGTCTCTGGTTATTGCCAATGGTTGTCTGTGCAGTTTCCGTAGCCCGTTCCGTTGTTTGTTTATGTACAGTAAATTTACAGTTTGCACCATTCTCATGCAGTTTATACTGTTAATCTCAATCTGGATACTTGTCACCCACATCCTCATATCTTAGACGTGGACTGTGTGAGACAAGCAGTGGGGGTAAACCTTGTTTGTTGTCAGTAACCTGGACATTCTGTGGCTAGTTCCAAGGCGACAAGATGTTCTGGAGGGTGGAAGGTGTCATACTGATTTTGTGGCTGACACTTTTACTGCTGCTGAGAGATTCTATAAGATAGGCCCTGTTATTACTTTGGGCCAAGGACGAAGTTTTTGGCGTGTTCCAATGTTGGGTGACCTCGACTTTGTTAACTGCTGAGCATTAGAGATAACTAGACTTCATTTCTAAGCAAAACTATTGTGGCGATTCCTAGAAAAGCGCTACAAGCATTACATAAATTACACATGATAAATAAGAAACTGTTGAGAGGTAGTCGTTTATTATAAGATAGTGATTGTGTAGGAATGTTTACGATATTACGTTTCATGTTAACCTAGCCAGTGGTTGCATCATTAAGGTCAACAAAATGAACAGTAGTCTGTTCCTAGAAACCGTCTTCAGACGTCATAAATGACGAGATAAATAGATTGCATTTCTAACCGGAACTATTGTGGCGATCCATTACGGTTCAGCCTCATGAGCAACAATAAAAGTGACACAGACATTACCCAAATTGTATGTCTCTAATGTCTGACGTTTACGATTACACGAACTTGCTTACATTTTAGGATAATGTTTAAAGTAAGTGGGTTTTTTCTATTCGCCATCCTCGGTGATTGACTAGGAGCGAGTGAGTGAGTGAATTAAAAATTCAGTTCACAGCGGCAGTATTTCAGCCATATCGTGACTAAAACATTTGTACATTTATAAATGAATACATTTTTTTAGAGAATATACTTACTTGTCTGTAAAGGACAGTAATACAACTAAATTATTACAGATATCCATTTAAAACTAGCAATTATATTTAAATTATTTTAACTATAAATCACAATACAATATTAAAACAGGTTGTAGATTGCAAACAACTGAAGGTTGATCATCATACTATGGATCATGGGGACTTACAGTACAATTTTGCTTCCTGCATGGGCCCTAGCTGGGTTTACACCATCCCTTCAGATGTTACCAGTTTAGGGCAATCGAGCCATAAATTGAAATGACATATATACTGCGGTTAAAAAAGTAGTAACGTTTTGGGGCTTACGTAGCCTCTCAGGAGGACAATATTTTTACAGTACTTTAACCCCCTTTGAGGATACAGCCCTGAACAATTCCAGCTGATTGTATCTCTTTACAAAACATATAAAATGTTATGCAACAATTCTATTTCTGTAAAAAAAATAGTAATAATTAAATGAAAATTTACAGTAGTAAAAACATCTTTACAGGTTTTTACATTGAAATCTTGTGAGGGAAAAATCAATATAGTCAAGCAGGACATGTTTGACCGTGAATCTTTCATCACAAGGGATTCAAAACGGAGGAAAGTCACCTTTTAATAAGTATTAATGTGTATATCGCGTATGGCCAATGCGACATCGTCGCATAATGACCTCCTCAAATCTGGACTGACAACCCAAGTAGGTGTAACCGAGTGTTGGTTATATTTGATGTAATTTATTGATACCTACTTGGGTGTCCCACTTCTCCTGCATCAGATCATGGATATCAGATTTGATGATAGCTTTATAATCAGAGTATGGAATTAGAAGTGGTGTCACAAATTTGTTGAGTGCTGCCTTAGCAGCAAAATCGGCCCTTGTATTACCAGAAATTCCCACATGGGTGGGTAACCAAGATAAGACGATGTCGTATTGGCCAGTAGCAAGATCATTATATAATTTAATAATTTCTATTAAAAGTGGATGTTGAGAAGACAAATTTGTAATAGCCTGAAGGCACGAAAGAGAATTGGAAAAGATTATGTATTGTTTATGTGTATACTTTAAAGCTGTAAATATGGCATTTGCTTCAGCTGTAAAGATAGAGCTGTTATCGGATAATCGAGAAGATATTGTTCTGGATCCAATGACAGTGGCAGAAGCAACCGCGCCACCATCCTTATATCCATCTGTAAATATTTGTAAGTTTTATGTTTATTTCTTAATTGATTATATTCTTGTCTGTAATGTAATTCATTTGTTTCGGATTTTTTAATGTGGTCAGTGTTAAGTCTACTTGTGGCCTAACCAATTGCCAAGGAGGAGAATAAAACAGGCGGGAAGGAGATATATTATTTAGGTCGATGTTAGAAGCAGAAGATACGGTTTTATTCGTATTCCAAGAGGTGGAATAAGAGAAGATTTTTTATTGTACA